CACTCCGCCCGTGCTCCTTCTGGCTTCACGTTCGGGACTGTCATCTTAGTACCTCTGGGACTGGCTGAGAGCGTCATGTCTCCTAGTAGTGAAAGTCTCTCCTGACTAGTTGTCAGAGTACCCGTGTGTCTGAATTTTCTCCTTTTTGATGGTACTTAGCTACTTGACTTTTCGACGGCGAGACCAGAAGTCACTTGGTATGTAGCGCAGTCAAGGTTTTCCAACTGACCTATGCCCACTTAGTGTTACTCTGACCTCATTGTTCGGTGTAGAAGTTTACTTCTTAAGACATTGTTTTGTAATGTTGTTACAAATTGCCTTGAACATTAGATAAGCCATGTTTATTTTCTGCCTCTTATTACTTGCTCAAATAAAGTACTCTGATTTGGGCTTGAGAATGCTTTTGTCTATAGCCCCTTGCTGACCATTTCTATTCTCTCCATAGGGTTTTCTGTTCTTGTGCAATTTAGGAAAGGAATGAATTATCCTATTTTAATATACTGCACAAAGTGGTCTTTTTATGAAATTCCGTTTTTCCCAGTAGTGATCTAAATGTTAATTTTGGGTTCTACTTCTTTCTCACTGTCCATAACAGTGAATTCTCCTTTCTTCTTTTTGCAGTATCTATTGTTGCTTAGGCAAATGTTTTTTTTTTTCTCTAAAAGTTGCTTCTACAAGTTTCTGTAATTTTTCACATTTACTTAGCCTTCATATGGAATTCCAGTTTTGTACTCTTTTTCTCTGTTTTGAAGTATCCTGCTGCTGTTTAACACAAGAGGACCACAGGTTGTGCTAGCCCCCCTAGTAGTTTCCCTTACATAGTTGTTTCTGTTGTGGCCAGGGAGGACAGAACTATCCATAGAGGTTTCTTTGCCAACTTCCATTTAGGGTTAATATTTTTTCACTTGTTTTAAGGTTGTCACTGTGTCTGTTCTACAGCTGTCCTCATAAGTTGAATAGTTAAGTATACCAACATCAGTAACTTCTGAATGTGTGTTTGTTCTTGAAAAGAAGAGTAAACTTAAATTCCAGATTTTTCTCATGAAGAATGTGTTTGCTATCTAAAATAATGGTGTTACTTGAAAAACTGCTCTGCTTGCTTAGTAATTTTGAAAGGTTGCTCTTATACTTGAAGGAAATCCTGACTAAAGATACTTGCAAGTAGTTTGCGTTAAATATTTAATGTGTTTTGTGAAGAGTGCTTTCTGTATCCTGTTGTGGTTACTGATGATAGTTTGTTCTGAGCATGTTGTTTACTTTACAGAATTCTGAGGATGTCCGATGTAAATGCATCTGCCCTCCTTACAAAGACCATTCAGGCCAGATTTACAACAAAAATGTTTCACAGAAAGACTGGTGAGTGTGCGTGGTGTAAACAATTATAATGAGTCTTACTGGTTAAAGTCTTGTTCCATAGTGATTATATGTGAGTCTTGTATGGTGGTGCCGGGGGAAATTATGTCTCTTGCATAGCTTACTGGAACTTCTCTTTTGGAAGTACTTCAGAGTTCAGCTCTAGCAAGGGACAAGTCTTGAAATCCATATTTTTTTGCCCTCTCTTCTGTTTTGGTTTGCTTGCTTGCATGATTAGTTATTTATTTAGACTTGGAAGTAGTAGAAGGGAAGAGGGTGTCGTACTTTGAATTCAGTGGTTTGAAATGGAGTAAAGGCAAAGGAGCATGGCCTTGCAACTAGGAGTCAGGAGTATTGTCTCCTCTTTCTTCGCTCTTGAAACTCGTCCTATCATTTAGAGACTATTGCTTCTGGAGATTTCCGTTCCTCAGAATTACAGCCGGAGAGTGCAGTTGTATGACATGGCCTGAGCCTCTAACAACATGTTTTTTCAGAGAGAGCGACATGCTCTATTGTATTGTATATGCCAGCTATGGCATTTGTCAGATTCCTGTCCAAGCTGAGGGCTGGTGTGTGTGGCCAGGGATGAGGGGTTGGGAAAGAAAGGGAGATTACAGTGATTTGTTACATTGGCATAGCTCCAATTGTCCAAGTTGTGTAACTTCACCTTGAGTATCACTGTCTATGTGAATCCTACAAATAAAACATGTTTTAGAGTTACATTGATGCTGGAAGTGTTCAGAGATTCTTGGGTTAGCCTGTAAAACGTGACATACTTCTTGGTGTATTGACTCTTCTTCAATTACATTAAGAATTTATAAAAGACTTTTCAGTCTGACGAGTAGCAGCAGGTTGCCATCTTGACTGTGAAAATTTCATGCCCCTGAGTAGGCCCACAAAAATAATTGTAGGAATAAAATTAGTGATACAGATGTGTAGAGCCGTGCCTCAACTTTTTAAATTACATGAGAACTGTGAGAAATAACACTGTACATTTCAATCTAAACTAATAAACATAAAATATACTGTCCAATCAAAATTACTGTTTTTGTCCCACATGATTAACTTAACATTAGTCTTACTATGACAAATTAAGTTGCAGCGATGAAACATACTGGGAAAATTCTAGCTGCAGCAGATGTTTCAGAATAGTGTTGTTACTAGTTTTATTGCTTGTTACCACTCTGCAAATGAAAATGGATTTTTTTTCAGTCGGTACTGTCTAGTGTGTGCCTCACTGGCAGGAAGGACCTTGTTTCCCTTTAAATCAATATTGGTAGTGATTGAAGGAAAAATCATCTTTGAAGGCTTGGCTAATTTTATGGTGACATACTGATGCATACAAAATTTCAAAAATCTATTTTCTTATCTTAAATCTCGTTTTGTTGAGGTAATTTCTTAAGTGACCATCTGGGAACGTTTTATGATTTTGATCCTCTGTTTGAGATGTCGTCTTGCCACTTCTAAAAGGTTTGATTGCTAGTTTACGTGCAATAAAATCGACAAATTTAGTGCTGTACTTTGGCTTCTGCATCAGTGCAAGTGACTTGTTGAATAGAACTGGCAGATGTGCACCATCCTTTAGGTATTTAGATCACTTACTCGTGAGACAAGAGCCAGATCGATTTTTAGTATCTTTATGAATGATGTGCAGTATAATGGCCACTTACTGCTGGCTTGTCCAGACATAAAATGAAAATTTAATTTTTAATGTTGAGCCTGTAATGTGCGTCATGATACTCTTATTTAGATGCTTCACTTCTTTCATTCGGAATGGTCTGTTCTTTGACTTCGGACTGGCAAACAGTGCATTATGCTAACATCAATGTGGGCCAGGGTGCTTTGACACCCATAAAAGCATTCATCCTTGTGGAGCCAGGTTTGGAACTATTGCAGGCAGTCCTAACCTGATGGACAATGCACTTGGCAAGCATAGTGATGCCTAAGCCCCTGCAGGGTTAAATAACCCACTTGGAAAGCGTTGGTGGTTTGTATTTTGTAGTTTGGAAGTGTTGGTGTGCAGAGGCAGGCTGCAGTGGGGAGGGAGGGAGGACACCCTGTCTACAAGCTGAATGAACTGGAGATTTGTCTGTGCAGAAGCTGCCCTTCTGACTAGCCTAGAGCTGCTTCCTTGGTGCTGTTACTGTGGGTGCAAGGGGGAGGTGGTAATGAGGTGGTTGAGTCAGAAAGTCATTTAGAAAAAACATCAGCTTTTTCAGTTTTCCCTCTAAAATTGCCATGGAATTGCAGTCCAAGGAAACACATCATCAAAATTCTAAGGTTCTGATAGATTTTACACTTACTAGCAACTTGAAACACTGAACTGGAGAGGAAAAAAATGCTGATATTAATATTTGTTGTATTCACAGTAACATACTACTGTACTTAAGCTACATACAAGCTTTCTAATATACTTGTGCAGCATATCGGTGCAAGCTTTGAATCATATGAACAGAAATTGCATAGATTGTAACTTGCATGTATTTTTGATTTTGTAGCTTGAATGCTGCACTCCTCCGCAGAGGAGAATGTAATTCTACTTTCAAATAAATGAGAAAACTAAGCCTTCCACTCCCCTCTGGAGCATGGGACTTGACACTCAGTGGTTTTAGTGATGAAGAAGAAATACAAAGAAAACAGAAGAGATGAGTTGGTGTCTGGCCACGTGTTTGCAACATTTTAATCTAGCCCAGCAGAGCGTTGAATCCTAGGCTGCTGCTGTCACTGCAGGTGTTTTGTTTCATTACCTGCTTCTGACTGTGCTAACATTGAGTTAACCAGGATAGAGGTGAAACATGATTTTTGTTCTGTTGGTGCTCTGCAGGGACCCTCGGATGTGAACTGTGAACAACCTACCTAAGTCAGCAAAAAGACCAAAATTACATAAGTTATTGGTGGAAAAGTTGTCTCACGGCAGCTGGATTTTAGTGCTGAGCTATAGAGTGTCCGTAAGGTTGTCTACTATGCGTTTTGGCATGGTTCTGCCTTAATGTTGTGTAATCTTTAAAGTCAAACTGTGTTTTCACATCCAAGTCTGGTGCCAAAAACTGAATGCTGTTTATTCACTATCTTGTTGCTTAGAGAAACAACCCGTCTGACATTTTTTTTTTCCTTTAATGCCTGTAACTTGTGATGGCAAGAAAAAAGAACTTCTGTTAATTAACTTCAAAGAGAGGTTAATCACCCTTCAGATCGTGAAAGGATAGAATAAGGCTCTTTTGAGTACATGAAGAAAGAAACATTTAGCTGGAATTTACTTTCATCTGTGATGTCAGTGTCAAATGATGCATTTGTGCTGGGATTCAAATCCTTGGACTTGTTATATTAACAGCTTTAATACTTCCACAGAAAAATGAAAACATTGTCTTGAGTTAAAAAGGTCTTAAAACTTGTTTAGCAGCTTGTCAACAGCTGAATTTTGTGTTTAAGCAAAATAATTGTGGAGTAGTGGTTTTTTGGTGTGTTTTTTTAATCTTGGATACCTGTAATTTAGAACAGCTGAACTTAAGCAAAGTTGGCTTCTTGGCTCATGCAGCTGGATCTGCATGCACAGTGAAACAGGTAAGCTAAAACGAGTTCAAAACTGACTGAGCACTTTCTGTCTTTCTTTAGTGATTGTCTTCATGTGGTTGAGCCTATGCCTGTCCCTGGACCTGATGTAGAAGCGTACTGTTTACGTTGCGAATGCAAATATGAGGAGAGAAGCTCTGTCACAATTAAGGTAAACAATATAATTCTGTTGGCGTATATTAAATACTTCAACTGATTAGTAAATATATGTCCATTGTCTTTTAGAGAAATATTCTTTTTAAAGGGAAGATTTTTCTAAAGCAGTCTAAGATTTAACTTTTTTTCATGATAGTTGCTCACAATTTATCTTGAGTAGTAACAATAGCATCAAGCTATAGCTGAAGGAGCAGCCTTGCGATCCTTTATTGAAGATCTCCACTTTTGAGATTAAGCTTTACCTTGCTGAAATTCTGAGTGTTCTAGGGCGTTTTGTCAAGCTTTGATCTTTGCTTCTGTTATTTTAGAGGGCCTCTTGTTATTCAGCTGTCTTACTTGCTTACTGTCGTGGTTTAGCCCAGCTGGCAACTAA